AGTGAAATTTTATTTGACTGTTATGATCTTAACATTTCCTGGATTGGCTGATATTTGGAGAAGTATAATTCACTAGAATCTTGTGCTTTGGTAGTATTTTAGGTTCAATAATAAAAGTAGTGCAGCTTTGAACCATCTGATCTTTGGTGTTCCTCTCCACTTGTCTCTCTAATTACATAAATGCTCTCAGTAGTGTTCTTTCTCTTAAAAAATAATTCATAAAAACCACTGTATATTCTTTAAATTTAAATATCCTCACTTTATATAGCACCATGAAACTGCTACATCACAAATGAATACCATATATAATGTCACTGGTTTTTCCCCCCATTTTCACATTTCATGAAACACTTTTGTGCAAAATCTTTACATACATTTTTAATAGCAGTCTTTTCACTAAGGTACTTTTAAGTTATCTGATAAAATTTTTATTTCCATCTAAGTTGTTCAAAGCATAGCACATTTTGAAATTGTGTCATTACTGGAAATTTTACCTGAAGCCACAAATATCCATTCACACACCATTAGGACCTTTTTTTCTTTTTTTAAATTTACCCTATGGAAACATATTCATGACTCTTGTTATGTAATTACCTACTATGTTGCTTTTTAAAATTTTAAAAAGCTTGTTGACAATAATGTTCAATACTTGAGATTTTTTTCAGACTTTCAGGAATACTTATTTAATCTGTGCTAAATTTCTTAGTCTCCTTTTTAAAATTGCCGTTATTAATTGAGATGTTTTCAGGCTAATCTGTTTTCCCTAAACATTGGGTTATTCAAAATATTGTGATGACAGCGAGTGCTACATAATATGAGAGGCTTTATAAAGGACTTTTCTAAGGTAAATTTTGGGAAAAAATATTATCTGATGTTTGGATCTATGCATTATTAGTAGCTATTAACCATGCTGAATAAGTAATTTCACTGAAGAAATTTCTTTTGATTAGATCCTCTGAATTAGAAGGTGGGACATTTAACATGTGTACTTAGGTCAGTCCTGGGAAAGTTATTACTGTCTTGGAAATGATTTTGTTTGTTTTTAAACAGAGCACTTAATGGTTTGGATGAAAGGAGCATTTTATTTAAAAAGCCAGAAATGAGGTACATTAGATGTCATTTGATTTTTATAATTTAATTGCGTATTGCTATTATGACTATGTCAAAGGGCTGATCATTTCACTTTTTATTAATACCTATATTTTATATGTCATTTAGACATTTTTACAAGAAGGAATGCCAACTTCTGCACGATGTGATGATTTAGAAGCTTTGAAAAAGAGGGGTTGCCATCCAGATGACATAGAAAATCCCAGAGGCTCCAAAGTTATAAAGAAAAATAAAAATGTAACCAACCGTAGCAAAGGAACAGCAGAGAAGCTTCAGCCTGAAGATATTACTCAGATCCAGCCACAGCAATTGGTTTTGCAATTACGGTCAGGTAAAGGCGGCCAGCCCTCTGAGTACTTTCCTTTCTACTTGAGATCATTGACGCCAGCTGTATGCAAGCCTCCTACCAGATTCTGCTGAGGGCTCATTTTCACATACAGACTGACAAAAACTTGGAATAGTTTAAATTTTAGAAATTTTTTTTGCAGATATAACAATCTGTAAAACACATAGACTTGGAATAATATTAAATGTTATCTCATGTCCAAAGTAAATTCTGTCAAAGATTCAGAAAGTATTAATTGGATTTAATGAGTTTTAAAAATAAAAGTGTTCATCCTCTGGTATAATTACATAATATAAAAGCAACACTGTAACCTGTTCTTTTCTTTTCTATTTGTTTAGTATTGTTAAAATATTAAGGTTTTTCTAAGTATACATGTCAGTGCCACATTTAAAAAGAAAGGAAGAAAGAAGCCCTCTTCCTCCCCTTTCTCTCAGAAGAGTGGGGAGAGAGTGGCCTCCTCCCATGACCTCCTCTTGTCCACTGTTCAGCCGGGGCAGTCAGGCCTCTCCTCCTAGCCCTGCTCCAGCAAAGCTCCACCGTCACCTTGAACCACCAGACCCAGTGGATCCGCGTCAGAGCCTTTTTAAAAAAACCTTTCTGTACCAAGTGAGGTGTTGCACTTCTCAGAACGCTCTCCCCTTAGCATGTGTCTCAGCCTCCCAAGTAGCTGGGACTCCTGGGACGTGCCCCAATGCCTGGCTAATTTTTCTATTTTTTTGTAGAGACGGGGTCTCTGCTCTCACTCAGGCTGGTGTCAAACTCCTGGCCTCCCAGAGTTCTAGGATTCCAAGTGTGAGCCACCGCGCTCAGCCCTCCAGGCTCCTTTTCTTGTCTTTTTTTCTTCCTTTCTGCTGTCCACCTAAATGTTGTCCTCTGCCCTTGGCTGTAAGTCCAGTTGTACACTACAACAACACAGACTTTTCTCTTGAGCTCCAAACCCATTTCTCTAACTGCCTACTAGAAATCTAAATGGAGAAAATCTACAAGTTAAAAATTTAATAATTTTTCGTCCTAAATGAATCTTCTCCCCTTCCTTGTTTCAGTTCAGATCGTCATCTCCCTCTTGGGTTTTTTTCTGTAGCTTCTTAACTAGTCTCTTGGTCTCTATAATTCATTTTTAAAACTTTCTGCCAGGTTTTCTAAAGTGAAAATCAGATTATGTTACTCACTTGCATATAGTGGCACCCCCTTTACACACAAAACAGTTCTCACAACTTCAAGTGTCTGAGAAGTCAGTTGTACCCTGTAATGTGCCCTCCTTTGCCCTCCCAGACTAATTTATGGTGTTCTATTTGTTTTCCTCTCTTATAGTTATAAATGGACTTTTTGTCTGTCTTGCGCGCAGTGGATTGGGGATGCTGTCTTTTTCCTCTTTGCATGCCCAAGACCTGGTGTTTTAGGTATTTGCTGAATGAAACTGAGCACATACCCATGCAGTTACTTATAGAATTCCCAGGTTTTTGTAAAAATTATGACTGCATTTCATTTCATAGGGTTACCATGTAAATCAGATTTATTTGGTTTTTCTCATTTGCTTTTTGATTGCCGGCAAGCACATTTCAATTTCTGATCTCTGTCCAGGGGAGCCGCAGACGTTTACGCTGAAGTTCAAGCGAGCGGAAGATTATCCCATAGATCTCTACTACCTCATGGACCTCTCCTACTCGATGAAGGACGATCTGGAGAATGTCAAAAGTCTCGGGACCGACCTGATGAATGAAATGAGGAGGATTACTTCAGACTTTAGAATCGGTGGGAATGTTGGGAATATTAACAATTTTCATTTGTATAAGTCTTGGCAGTTCTCAAAGACCTTTTGTGTTTTCTTCCTTTTTTCTTCACAACGTGCTTGTGAGACAAATAGGCCAGTTTTTAGCCTTTTCTTTCTGAGGGGAAACGGATTCCAGTTGCACATTTAACAATCTTTCTGCCTCCTTGCTCCTCTGTCACCATATGTTACTATGTTACTGATATTTGACACAGTTTATACCTCATAGGTAATGAAACGCTTGCTTGTTTTCACAGGCATTTATCCATTCAACTGTTGATTTATTTTATAAGTAATGTCTTGAGTACCCAGATTCCAGTTCATTACTAATTAATACGACTATACCTGCTGGTACAGCCTAATCTTACCTCAGACCTGGATTTTTCATATTATGATGATCTCCTTTCCAGACCTTATTTTTTCCCAATTTCATGCATCTCCAACTTAACCTCTTTCATGCCTGCTGTTTTCCACAGCTGCTGCAGCGGAGGTTTAACAACAGAATCTGGGAAAGACTTGTTAGCCTTCTCGAGGCCTCAAAGCTGCCTTTCAAAAATTAGCTCTGTTTTAGTGGAAACATTAAAAACGGCACTTGCTTCTTCAAATGCTCTTTTATTCAGTAAGCATAATTGAAGGACCATGGAGATAGGAAGCTCTTACCAAGTTAGTCTTTTTTGAAGTGGGGTCATAATTCCAGAATATTCATTTATTCGTTCATTCAACATGCCATTATTGGGAACTGATACACTAAGAAAATTAATGTGAATTATTTTTAAAGTGAGTAGACAAAAAGATTAACTTAAATCTTAGGCCAGGCCGGGCGCAGTAGCTCACGCCTGTAATCCTAGCACTCTGGGAGGCCAAGGCGGGTGGATTGTTTGAGCTCAGGAGTTCGA